TTCAGGGGCTTGATTCAGAGGCCAGGGATCTCCAGGCAGCCACAAGGCCTGGGACGTCCTTACTTCTCATGCCTCAGTTTCCCTGTGTGTAAAATGTGAGAAGGACATCAGAGGGTCTGCACCTCCCTTCCTGTTCTGGCACCCTAGTTCTGCGAGTCCCTCTCCCAAACTGGCCACACTGGAGGCCTGAAGTGAATTTGCACCACGAGTAGCTTCAACAACTGTTAGTGTATGGCCAGTCTCGTTGGTCTCTACCCTCTGCCTCCCTGCTAAATCCAAGACACCACCTCACTTTGTCCACAAACTCTTCAGCTCTAGCGTCAGGGCTGGAGAGGTGGGCTGTAGCTGTCTAGCCCTGGGGTGATTGAGGGCAGGGTGTGAGAGTAGGCTGAGATAAAAGGTGGTTGGGGATGGGCTGGGGATGGGCTGGTTTGCAAGTGAAAGGCACAGTTCTCTGGGGAGTTGTTTATTGTCTCTAGGAATTAGCTAGTCCTGGGATTTCCTTTTAAATTTTTAACAGTGTCCTTCCTTTTTTGATCCTTCATAGGGGGAGGGGTGTTGTGTTTATGTGTTTCTCCTGCCCCTCTTCATTCTCTGTGAACTGGTGGATCTTCCGGAGAGCTTGTTGGTTCCTGGGTCTGTTGCTTTTTAAAACCCTCCCCCGATGGCTGGGAACTTTCCAGTGCTCCTGGGTTGACGTGGATGTGGATTGGTGGTCAACCCAGTGGTCACTGGTCTCCCATCAACGTTGCCCCCAGTGGTTTTATAGCAGCTGCCTCGGAAGCATTGTTGAGATTTTTCATATCATTTGGGTTTGCAGGTGGTGGTTTTTAATTCCATCCTTTTTTCTGCTCATGTTTTTTGTTTTAAAGAGCATTTACTTATCAGCTATTTGGTTATCCACACAAATAAAAAAGTGCTGGATTATTTCCATGTGTTTGTTAATTTACAAAATAATGAATTAGGACCTCGTTGTGAACTCATGGATTTTTAAAAGCATTGATGCGCTTTGATCCATTGCCATCTTTTTTTATTTTTGGTGCTCAGATTTCCCATTTTGGCAAGTGGGGCCCGTCAGCTGGCTCCTGTCCCCTCTGACCAGGCCCACCACCTCTGGGCGGCGTCTCGATAGTCTGCAGTTTTCCAGAAGCCCTGGTTTCTTTCCATGGGAAACGGGTTTTCAGGCCCATAATCTGGGTTGCCTTTGGTCCTGGGACTTTTCAGGGCACAGGGATAGGAGAGGTTTTGAGAAAAAGAAAAATAAATTGTGAGTTTATATTGATGTTTCCAATTCACTTAACTTCACTCCTTTGATCTTATATTTGTATCTTTTCCATGATGCTGAAAATCCTAATGACAGTGATATTATTTGTTTCATCCTTCTTATATAAAGTAGGCTCAAAATAACATTGTGAATATTATTATCATCAATAAGACTACTGAATGTAATTGAAGATTTCTTTGTGGTTATTTTTGTTGGGAGTTATATCCTACAAGATGTACAATCAAATATGTGCTTTCGTGTAGTAATTCTTCTCTGTGTGGCCATGTTGCCAACGTGCTACCAGCTAGGCGTATTTCATTTTGGTTTTGATCTTTGAGGCATTGCTATTTTTAATTTAATCTTTCATTTTAGTTACATACGATATTTGCGTGGTTCAGTTCCATGGTGAAAAATCTAAGTAGAGATGTGCTGAGTGGCCGTACCCTGCCCCGCCGTCTCCACCATGCGGTTAAACGTTTGTGCTGGGGTGGCTTTGACCCTCGTCTGTTCCTTTTTGTTCCCGTTTGATATCAGGAGCACAGGCACATGTGAAACTGACAGGGCCTCCTCCCAGTCCTTTCTGAGGCTGGAGGGACTTCCAGCTGTCCCTGCTGTGACGGACAGGCGTCTGCACAGTTCTTGAGTGGCAGCTCTGTTGCCCTTTGTGTCCCTCCCGCTGTAGCAGGAAGCTCCATGAAAACAAAGACCTTCTCTCTTTTCGTTTTCACTTTTGTATATTCGGTGCTTAACACAGTGGCTGGCATGTCCTGGGGCTCCATGAAAGGAATTGTGGGAGAATGAATTATGAAAGTTGCAATTGAAATGACCATTCTGCCCACCTTCAACTCTGTGGACGCTGCGGGTTCAATTTGTGCGGTCAGAGTAGCCATCCACACTCTACTGCGCAGAAATGGAGTTTTCTGAAATTTCCTGTTTCATTTTCCCACTGATAGCCAGACACTCAATCTTACAAAGTTCATAGCACTTGGCCAGTTTGGGTTTTGAATGCAGTCACTTAGGGGCAAGAACTGGATTAATTCAGGCCTTCCCTTCCCACCTTCTCCTTCTGCTGGGGTGGGGTTGGGGGGCTCCCAGGTCGTGGGACTTACCTGCTTTCTCAGAATGGGGAACAGTGTGGGGGTCCCTGCATTGTCCTCTGTCCTCTGGCCTGGCCTGCACTGCTTCAGAGCTGGCCCTGGAGGGGCTTGGGCACCTTAGGGCTCTGGAAGTGGCAGTGGATCTTCCTGGCGAGGGGCCAGCACTGTGTCCAGGCACTGGCCTCCCAGCCGCACCTTCTCTGGGGCAAGACGCTGCCCTTTCTGTGAGCACGGACTGTGGTCCCAGTCCCTGGCATTGCTGCAGTGGCAGTAACCACGGTGCTGGCCACTGAGCTGAGACCCTCACTCAGATTGTTGTGGGGTCAGCACACCAGCCTGCAAGCAGGCGTATTCAGACCCCGTAGGATACATAGGAGACGGCAGCCTGGCCTCAAGTGGACACAAGCGCCTGCTCCCAGACCCTAGCCTAGGTGACGGGCGGTGTCAGCCCGAGCACAGCCTGCTGGGGTTGGGGGTGATGTGGGAGAAACCTCTCCCGTGGATGGAGGCCAGTGTCCTAAGGGTTAAGTGGCTGCCCTGGTTACACAGAGGTGGCAGGGACATTAGGTGGCCAGAACAGACTCTTACCAGCCTCTCTGCAGCCAGCTCCCTGTCAGGGGAGGAGCCTGCAGGGTCCCGACAGAGTGGACTTGGACACTGGGCTTTCCAAGGCTGTTCTCTGTCCCTCTGACAGGCTGACGCCTCCACTCACTTCCTCCCCTTGTCTGTGTGTCCAGGGCCTGGGGATGCTTTGGGAGCCCAGGGGCGGAAGGAGCTAGACATGAAGCCATCTGCATGCCTGATGGCACCCCCTTCTCAGAGGCCCGGTGGTGGCCAGGGACATATCTCAGGGTCCCCAGGGCAGATCAGGACAGCAGAGGGTTCATCTGTCTGCTGAACTCTGGGAAGATATTCCCATAGACAGGCCTGAGGGGACCCCGTCCATTCAGCTGCTAGGCTGACCCCCCACCAGCCTGGGGACTGGGGCTCCCAGTGGCCAGCACAGCCCTGTGCTGCCCTGACCAGCTCTGCGCCGGCCTGGGTTTCCCCTGAAATGGGGAGCACAAGTGACACAGGGATCGTGGGAGCTGAGACTTCTCATCCCAGATGCACTGTGGTAACTCACAGCATTCACGAGAACCTGCGGGAGTCGGCTCATTTGTAACAAACCAAAGCCACAGCGGGCGGAGGAGTTCCCCAGCCTTGGGAGACCATCTCCGTCTGCTGAGGTCCTTCCTCCCTCAGCGCATGCCTGTGTGAGGCCGTTCTCTTCACAGGCATCCACACAAGCAGCGCAGCGTGAGGGATGGGGGCGGGAGGGGTCCCAGAATCCGCTGTCTGTTCTGGAGACAGAATTGAAGAGGCTTGCAGAAGTGGACCACGATGCCACGCTTCTTACTCACTGTCTTTTGTTTGGGAAAATGCCATATTTTTTTTTTTTTGAGACAGAGTCTCACTTTGTTGCCCAGGCTAGAGTGAGTGCCATGGCGTCAGCCTAGCTCACAGCAACCTCAATCTCCTGGGCTCAAGCGATCCTCCTGCCTCAGCCTCCCGAGTAGCTGGGACTACAGGCATGCGCCACCATGCCTGGCTAATTTTTTCTCTATATATTAGTTGGCCAATTAATTTCTTTCTATTTATAGTAGAGACGGAGTCTCACTCTTGCTCAGGCTGGTTTTGAACTCCTGACCTTGAGCAATCCGCCCGCCTCAGCCTCCCAGAGAGCTAGGATTACAGACGTGAGCCACCACGCCTGGCCAAAAAATGCCATATTTTTCCAAAAAATGTTATTTATGTTAACACCGAATGGATATTATTATTTTTAAATGATTCGCACGTTTGAAAAAGTTTCTTAGTAGTTGCTTCTTATTGGTAAATGTCTGTGGCTATAAGCCATCTACGAATACATTTTTTGTGAGGTCCTCAGTTATTTCAAGATGTAAAGGGGTCCTAAAATGGAAATATTTTGGAACTGCTGTTTTAATGCTTTCCTTGAGAACAACAGTCACAGTAATAATCCCAGCTGGCATTTATAGATCCGAATAGCGTAGTTGCTTAACCTAACTCTCCCCATCCTCATGGTGGCCCAAGAGGCGGGCGCGGCTCTTCTTATCCAGACCACTGTGCAAATGAGCGAGTGCACCTTCCCTGGTGTGCCCGTGGGTGCGGAGGTCAGGAGCCCCCATGGGTGAGGCCCGCCCTTCCGAGGGAGAAGGGGCTGTGGGGGGGGGAGGGATCTAGCATGTTCCAGAAGGGCTGTCCATGACAATGTGCATGGGCCACCAGGGGAGGTGGTGTGGAATGGAATTCAGGGAGCTGGGGAGGAGTCCCCATGGTGGTGGCTTTCCAGTTGCACCTCAAAGGATTGATCTGCAGGGCTGGCTGGCTGAGTGAAGAGGGTGGGAGGGACGGACACCCCAAGGGGAAAGAGGCCCTGAGGAAGGTGAGAGGAGGGAGGGGGACATCAGTGTGAGCCTGGTCCCAGCCCTCGGGGCTCTGCTGACCACCTGAGGGTGTGGCCTGGGCTGCATCGTACTGGTGCTCTGTGGTCGCCAGCATCTGGAGATGGTGAAGAAGGCAGAGGTGCCCCGGGCCCCTGTGACACTGTCTCTTACCATGTGCTTTGCTCTCCCCTGAAGGAGAACCACTGTCGCCGCATCAAGATCCTTGGGGACTGCTACTACTGCGTGTCGGGCCTCACCCAGCCCAAGACTGACCATGCCCACTGCTGCGTGGAGATGGGGCTGGACATGATCGACACCATGACGTAAGTGCCCCAAGGGATGGGAGGAGCACTCATGCCATCCGCTGGTTGACTAGTGGAGGCCAAGCCACCTTCTGCCCTCGAGAGCCTGCTTTGCCCTGGTGGGTCTGTCCGGGGCTGCAGAGAAGGAGCCAGAATCAGGAGCTGCTGGGCCCAGCAAGTCCCACCTGAGCTCTGAAGGATGATTCTGTGATGGCCTCTTTTACAGTCTGTGTGTAATTGTATTTCTTTGTCCACAGGAACCCCACGTACTGTCAGATAGGCATGAATTGTGCAAAAAAAAAAAAAATATTTCCTTTATAGCTTAGCTGGACGAGTTGCTCAGAACAGGTTGGTTCCAATCCAGCTGAATTCCATTTTAAAAGGAAATAAGTTTTTGTTTGTTCTTCCTCCAGGCAGGTGATGGGTCTCAGGTGCTCTCTGTGTGGAGCGAGAGGGTTGGGATGATCGTGCACCTGTGTGGCCTGGCCTGCCTGTGTCTTGGTCCTGCCTGTGTCTTATCATCATCCTTATCAGAGGCTGGGATGAAGGGTTTTCGTCAAGTCAGGGAAGGTGTGGAGCTGGTAGGTTGAGCGGATGGATGAAGTGTAGATCGAAGTTCAGACATCTCAGTGTGGAGAGACGGGCGTGCTCCAGTGAGATGGTGTAACAGGGATTGGTGTAAAGTTTCATAGTTGGAGCAGCAAAGTAATAGCACAAGAACTGTGTGAAGAGACGTGATGAAGTAGTGCCGGTAGCCGAATGCACAGTACCCCAGCAAACGGGCTGCGGAGGCGGGGTGAGGCCGCACTGCACCACCGTACGGGGGGCTGCCGCGCCATGCTCCTGCAGACAGCGTGACCACGGACGGGCATCAGAAGGGATCCCGCCAGAGCCTTGGGCGGCGAGCTCAGTCCTGGCACCTGCCTGTTGGGGACACGTGAGCAAAGCGGGACCCTGCAGGCAGCTCCGTTCCGGGAAGCCACATGTGACACTCCCAGTGACGCCAGATGAGGCGTGAGGTCCTCCCTGGGGTCTGGCTTGGTGGCTCCCAGGTCTGAGCCCCTCTCCCTGACCAGTGAGATGTTCCGTGTGCGATCTGTGCCCACTGGCCCTTTTCTGCTGAGACCCTGCCCCCTGAGAGGCACCACCAGCTCGTTCCCTCCCAGACACGCCTTCAGTACTAAGTCACCAAGGAAACTGCTCCTGCTCAGCAGTCTGGCCAACTGCAATGGCATTCACAGTCTCAGCCAGCGGTCCCCAGCCACTGCTCCTCCTGGGCGGCTGGGGCGTCTTACCCAGGGAAGCCGATAGGCCTGCTGGGTTCCTGAGTCCATCCTTGAGGTGATGTTTGTTTCTTTGAAACCTAAATATTCTTTGCTGTAAAATGGAGAAATAGTGCTTGCATCTCTGAATTGTCAGGATTTAATGGGATCTCAGATTAAATGGGCCTGCGTAGAATTGGTTCTAGCAGCCACCGGAGAGACTGATTCATCAGCGCCGATTCTGCAGGACCCCTGTGAAGCGACACGGTTCCATGCACCTGTGGTGGTTCTGTCCACCTTGTGGGCGGTGGACGGCAGGCAAACCGAGAATCAGACTCTGAACAGGAGTCACATTCCTCCAATGACCACCAAGCATGCAAGGCGCCATTTTGCTAAATAGATTTAATCCACATCTCACTGGTCAGGGATTTAATCCAGATTTAATCCTGGTATGTGTATTTTTGGTTTACTGTATTGAACGAGGTTAGAAATAAATGGCCTGCGCTTTTCCTTCTCTGACTCACCTTTGAGCTGGCAAGTCCAGCTTGCATGTCCTGTTGTCATTGGTAGACCCTGTGTTTCCCTGGCTGGAGCTCTGGAGGTCCCACGAGAAGGGATGCCCAGGGCCTTGTCCCCCTGGCAGCTGGGCTGTTCCCATAGCACCTTGCTTTTTAACGAGCTGGTGTGTGTCTGAGCCACAAGGCATGCCTCAGTTTCTCAGCAGAGGTAACTTGGGGATTACCTCCTCTAGTTACTGGACTCTAGTTTTCATAGCCAGACCTGTTGAAAAATTTAAGGGTGGGTTTTCTTCAGGGGAAGCAGTGCCTGTGTGCACAGAGCTCCTGAATCTTGTATATTCCAGGTTGAGAATCCGCATTTTTACAGATGGGGAAACTGAGGCCCAGGAGGGGAAATGAGGAGCCCAAGTTGAGGTTATGAGTGTGAGCACATGGGGATCGGAGCCATTTGCTCTACCCTTCTTGCTGCGTCGGGGTGGAGGCTGCTGTGGGCAGGTGTGTTGGAAATTCTGCCTAGGTGATGGCAAGTAGGCGCCTGTGGTGTCCTTTCTCCTCTTTTCCCCTGTTATGTGCACGGCTGTGGCTGCAGTGCTTAGAATAATGGCTGGGGTGAGTGCGCTCAGTAGATGCTCCTGGAACAAATGAACAAATGTATCCTCATCCGTCCTCTGTGAAGCCACGATTAGGTTTCAGCTTTGCAGAGTTTATTTGTGCCGTGGGGTTGGCAGTGGCCCCTCTGCCATGGCGTGGGCCACTTCCTCGTTTCCTCCCTGTCGGGGCCCAGCACAGAGGGCTTGGGTCAGGGCTGCAGATGGTGTCGGACTTCCCCCTGCATAAAACATACTGGAGATAAGTAAGTGAACCTCAGAGCACAGATGAGGAAAAAATAGGACACATAAAGCCAAAAAGTGCTGTGGAAATCACGTTCCTTGGAGATGAAGTTGAAGGTTCTGTTGGATTTGGGCAAAGCCGGCTTGGGCATCCCAGGAGGAATCCCTGTGAGAGCAGTTATGGATGCATAATTTATTTAGAATTAATTGTCTTGTTAACTGCAGACCTGATGACACCAGAAATTTGAGATATTTGAGGCAGAACCTGTTGGGAAAGATTGAAGATGGAGAGTATTGGTAGAAAGTGCCGGGTAGCGGATGTCGTGTGGCCGCGTGGCTTTGGTTGGAGGCTGGTGGAGGTGCCGCTCGCTGGGAGCTGAAGGTCTGCTGTGGTGGCTTGAGGGGATCTGGGGACGGAGGGGGACAAGGGTCCCAGACGTCCATGACTACAGAGGTATAATCGTTAAAAGTTCACAAAAATACCGTTTGCAAGTTTTGGTATTTACATTTTCCCATACTCATTTTGCTTTGTAAATTTTGGAAAAAAAATTTTAACTTCGGTGTTTTGTTTCAGTGCCTCTAATTGGAGATTTGCAAGTGACAGGAAAAACATTAAAATTTAAAAAAAAACATATTAAAGTGTGTAAAACTAAGTAGGTATTAAGGTATATCAATAGTTTAACTTCCAAATAGCTTTTTCTGTAAATCTGTGGCATGCACACTTCTGAGTTCACTGAAGCTGGAGACGTACCAAGACTCCTGGGACTCCGACTTGGCTGTGTGTCAGACGGCGAGGTCTGAGATAGCTGTCTGTTGTCACCACCGCGTGGTGGCAGAGTCTAGGTGTTTTCACACTTGATGAGATAGAAAGTACAGGAGGTTGGCCTACTCCCTTAAGCACTGGGTGAGATTAAATGATGTCAGAGATGGTCAGAGCCAGACCAGGTTTACACACGAGGAACAGGCTCAGGCGAGCATCAGTGCGTCCAAAGTCAGCCACGCTGGCCTGGGATTCCCCAAAGTTCTCAATTCCTTCAGTACCTGCTCAGCCTTCAGTTCCCCTCCTTGAGGCCCTTCCCCATGCTCTGTCATCCCCACCCCCATGCTCTGTCATCCCCACCCCCATGCTCTGTCATCCCCACCCCCATGCTCTGTCATCCCCACCCCCATGCTCTGTCATCCCCACCCCCATGCTCTGTCATCCCCACCCCCATGCTCTGTCATCCCCACCCCGGCTCCTGGTCAGAGCCCTCAGGTAACCAGCCTCACATCTGGACAAGGCTCCAGTACCTGCCCCTGAGAATGGGACATTTGCACTGAGGCCCAAGGCCATGTGTGTGTTAGGAAGCAGATGGGGAGGCAGAGAAAGTGCTTGGGCTGCAGATCTTGTCCCCTGTTCCTGGCGGGTTGTCACCTCCCTGTGGCCAGCAGGCAGGTGTGGACCCTCCTGATAGGGCAGTGGGTGCATAGAGCCCTTTGTGAACCCAGACCATCCTGCCGCCACCCTCCAAAGACAGTGGTGACCAGACCCATGTGGGATTCGGGGGATCACTTCCCTTTAGAGACTGCCCTGGGGGGGAAGGAGACTCATGGGCTGGTGTGGATGCTCTGTGAGCTGGCTGGGAGCATGGCCTGGAGCCACCCTGCCATCAGCTCGTGGGTGGCACTGGAAGGTGCCGCCATCCACCCACTAGGCCAAGAAACCTCACGCTCAGGCGGTGTGCAGCAGGGACAAGCCTGGCTCCCCTGGTGCTCATGGCCTAGTGGTGTAGACCACAGCGGGCCACCAGGTAGCGTGCCAGGCAGGCTCCACCCCCATGCTCTGTGCCTGTGTTGTAGGTCTGTGGCTGAGGCCACCGAAGTGGACCTGAACATGCGTGTGGGTCTGCACACGGGCAGGGTCCTCTGCGGCGTCCTGGGCCTGCGCAAGTGGCAGTATGATGTGTGGTCCAACGACGTGACCCTGGCCAATGTAATGGAAGCTGCTGGCCTACCTGGGTAAGTCAGGGGCAGGGTTGAAGGGGGAGGTGCACGGTGGCTCTGTGATTCCAATTTGACCCTCAATGCCAGGACCCCAGAGGGGCCTGCCCGTCCCAGCTGCATCTGCCAAGTGCATCCTGTGGTGGGGTCCTGCCCAGCCCCGCTGCTGCCCTGAGCTGGGCATTTTGCCCCTCTGGGCCTGGCGTACATCTGCAGACAGCCGGCGTTGGCCTAGAAGCCCAGATGCAGGTGCATGTGCGGATTGTTGCCAGTGGCATGGGGCTGTCCTCACAGCTTCTCGCTGCTTCTCTGTTTTGCTGTCTTTGCCTTCATTTTCTCAAATGAAGATGGAAAGTCCTGTGACTTTAGAGCCCTCTGTCCCTGAGCTCCACACAGTCATCCAGGAGTGGGCTCAGGCCCAGAGCTCGTGGACGTCTGGGTCACAGACAACGAGGTCTTTGGGCTCGCTTAAAAATGCCAGGGCTGTCAGTGGCCACGCATGGCGGCAGGCTCAGCTGTGTCTTCAAGGGCGATTCCAGCACACATCTCTGCTGACCACGAGCCCCGTAATCTCCCTTTCGTGGGATTTTGCAGCGGCTACCTAGAGCTGGCAGCCTCTCCAGAGTGCTGGCTGCCCCTCGGCCGCTCAGGGCCCACCATAGAGCAAGGACTTCAGCGAGAGCTGGCATCTTCCTCTCCCTGTCAGCTCCGGCAGGCCGGGCTACCCAGCCGTCCATCCCCATGCTGAAGGAATGAATGCGGCACCAACTGAATACAGGAATGGACACCTAATTACCTTTCTAGAGACCATTGGTGCTTGGAAGCTTCCAGACAGCCTAGGTGACCTTCTCAGTTAAGGGTGACAGGGGTGACAGTGTCTCAGGCAGGCCCAGGGCCTCCCAGGAGGAGGCAGCAAGTGGCGAGGGCTGAGACCTGCTCTGAGTGAGCGCCCTGCCTACCCGGTGCCAACAGGAGCCTCTGATTGGGGCACCCAAGGAGCACCCCAGTGGGGACCGGGTGAGAAATGGCACCTGTGGGCGGGGCAGCACAGGGACAGCACCCAGCACGTGGCGCGGGTCGGAGTTGGAGAACCAGCCTGTGCTCCCCTCTGGGCCCTCGTGGTTTCTTTTCTTCCTGGCCTGGCAGTCCCTCACTGTCCCTCCCTCTCCCATCCGTGCCCTCCTCTGAGGACCATAACTGAGCCCCCCAGCCCTGTCCTTGCCCTCTGCGATCCCAGTGAGTCTGGGAGCTCTGTCTCCGTCTGCCCATCCCCCGAGCCGGGCTTCCACCCTGCTTTCGCCCTCAGCCAGCCTTAGCGTTCCATTCTGAATGCCCTGTATGGAATCAGAAGACACTGCGGTGAAGAGCGGATTTGGGATTGTGGGGAGCGGTTTTGAACACTGGGGAGTTTGCTTCTCATCTCACGAAGCCGCGTGCTGTGCTTGGGGGGTCCGTGGGTGTACTGCCTGCTCCATCGTGTTTGAGTTTTCTGCTGCGTGATGCTAACTCTGAGGGGTTCTCCTGCCCTGGCCAGGAGGCTGGCTTGGGGAGGCGTGCACACCCTGGCCCCAGATGTGTTTCCCACCTCCCTGCCCCACCCTCACCTCCCGTGTGGATACTGTGGCCAGGAGCCAGCCCTGACTTCTGGCCGCCTGGCGGGGTCTGCTCACTGCTTCTGCTGACAGAGCAGACCCTGGCTGTCTGGGCAGGGGCTCCCATTTCTCCTCTTCCTCACCACACTGCCACCTTTTCTTTTCTCACCTTCCCTAATGCATCCTTCTGATGTTGGTTTCTGTTTCTCTCCTTCGGTTCCTCTGTCCTCCTCTGGCCCTGTATTCTGCCTTGCTCAGCTGTCTCTGCTTCTCCTCCTGGGCACGTTGCCCTGCTGCTCTGCCCTGCCCGTCTGACCAGGGTCCCCCTCCTGGCAGGGGCAGACTTGCTGCACCGTGAGTGCTCCTGGCAGAGCCTGCCCTGGGGCTGGAAGCCTCTGCCTGTGCCCCTGCGGGACTCTGGGGACTCCGGGCAGCAGCGGGTTGCCACTCAGCCCGCCTCTCTGCCTGCTTTTTTTGTAGGAAGGTTCATATCACAAAGACGACCCTGGCATGCTTGAATGGGGACTACGAGGTAGAACCAGGTTATGGACATGAGAGGAACAGTTTCCTGAAAACTCATAATATCGAAACCTTTTTTATTGTGCCATCCCATCGCAGAAAGGTAGGCCCCAGAACCACCTGTATTGATTGGTCCTTAACTACTGGGCCTGGACAGAGCTTTGAAGGTGTAACTGCTCCTGCTTCTCCTCCAATCACTGCTGCTCTGGGTACAGGGCCCAGTTCTGGGTGTGAACTTGCTAAGACAAAGAGGGGTGTCCTGCTAAGGGCCTTGCCTCTTACAGGTGTAGGGAGATACCAAGTGAGGAGGGGGAGGGAGCATGAGCCCCTAGTCAGAGATCTGGGGTCACCTGAGGGCTGGGCCATCCTGTGTCCTCCCCCTCACCCCCAAGCCTTCACTGCCTCCCTTGCAATGTGGGCACGAAACCCTGCAGGGGGTTAGGGATGGGTAACTCTGTGAACTGAGGGGTGCTGGGCACACAGGTGGGCTGTGATCATCTTGTGTGGGGCACTTGAGGTCCCCCTGACCAGAGAAAAGTGATATAGACATGATCAAGAGTGACCAAGCTGCTCCTAGGACTCAGGCAGGTGAGGGTGCTGGGCTCAGGTGGGGTTGTAGGCTCAGGTGAGAGTACTGGTTCAGGTGGGGGTACAGGCTCAGGCAAGAGTGCAGGGCCCAGGTGAGAGTGCTGGGCTCAGGTGAGGGGTAGGGTTCAGGCGAGAGTGCTGGGCTCAGGTAAGGATGCAGGGCCCAGGTGAGAGTGCTGGGCTCAGGTGAGGGTACAGGACCCAGGTGAGAGTGCTGGGCTCAGGTGAGGGCGCAGGGTTCAGGTGAGAGTGCTGGGTTTAGGTAAGGGTGCAGGGCCCAGGTGAGGGGACAGGGCTATTTCTTGTGCTGGTTCTTTCTAAAGAAACAATTTATAGGAGTGAGCCTTAGCGTGACTGAGTGAATGCAGGCCTCCAGGCTCCGTCATACTGACACAGACAATAGCTCTGGGGTCCTGTGGTTCCAGGGCATATGGAGATAAAGAGGTCAGGACAGCGGGCAGCTCCCTCTTTAGAGAAGTTTGGGTGGGTGGGAGAAGGGAAGAGTGGGAATGCCCCAAAGCAGAAGGGCGTTTTGTTGTTTGGAAGCATAGAGGAGGTTTGCATGTATCTGTTGGGGCCAGTGAAGGAGAAAGTGAGAGGTGGGCGGGAGGCCCGGGAGGGACTGGCCCAGGTGAGCCAGGGAGGCACTGCATGCGTTCTGCTGTGGGGCGGAGCTCCCAGCTCACTGAGAGGACAGGCACACCGGCAAGAACGGTTACTGTGCCTTTATCCCCAGAGCTCTTAGGTTCCCACTTTTCTGTCACTTAGTTGGATCTTGGGAAGGTCCCAAGGGGTGCCTGGGTGACGCTCATTGCATTTGGCAGGTGACAGCCCAGGTCGTGAGGGCTGTGAGGGTGCGGCGCCCTGAGCCCTAGCTGGGTGCTGGCCAGCGTGCGGGCCTCCCGGGCCTTTCTGTAGAACAGGGCGTGCTGGGAACGGGACAGGGGAACAGAAACTGCGAAGTGACGCTGGTTCCCAGCCTGGGCAGTCTTCCCTGACCCGGGCTCAAACCCTCCCTCCCTCCACTGGGGCCCAGGACTTGATGGGTTGCTTTGTTTTTTCCAGGCCTTTGGTATGGTTTGAGAATGGACTGTCTTGGAAATGGGTTGAGGTTTTGTTTGCTGCTGTACCCCTGGCATGTCCCCCAGTGCCTGGTGCAGAGTATTGAACAGATGAAGCTCAGCACCCTGGGGTGGGGGTGGCTGTCAGAGTTACGTTCCCAGCCTGAGAGGCCACGTGTCCTTTACAGCATTTCTCTTTGCCCTTTGTGTGTTTGGACAGATATTTCCAGGTCTGATTCTCTCAGATATAAAACCGGCAAAGAGGATGAAGTTCAAGACTGTCTGCTACCTGCTGGTGCAGCTCATGCACTGCCGGAAGATGTTCAAGGCCGAGATCCCCTTCTCCAATGTCATGACCTGCGAAGACGATGACAAGGTACTGTGTTTTTCCCAAAATAAGACAGGGTCTTATATTTATTTTTCCTCAAGAAGACACCCTAGGGCTTATTTTCAGGGGATGTGTTATTTTTTTTTAAGTACGGTACAACAATCTACATTTATTCAAATATAGTTAAGTTGTCTTCTTCTGGAACATCATCATAACTCTCCAAACCCTGAATTCCATCCCGAATTTCTTGCAACTCTATTTCCTTTAGAACCATTGGCCCCAATCTCTCATGTCGAGCAATAGAGCTCTCCTGGGGCAGATGAGAAGGGCTGCTTGTCTTCTTTACCACTCCGAGATGAAATGCATGGGTTGTGCAGATACGCTGCGTAGCCACGCCCATCACTAGGTCTTATTTTCGGGGTAGGGCTTATATTGCACAAATGCTTAGAAATCCTGCTAGGGCTTATTTTATGGGTAGGTCTTATTTTGGGGGAAACACGAGAAGCTGCCGTGCCCAAGCTGATGGGTGCAATCTCTGTCCTCCCCTCCCCATATGGTCTCACGCAATTTGGCGAGATCAGGACTCACAGTTCACATGCATATAATCTTGTAAACGCGGCTCAGTACTGAGCTACATTTTCTTTCCTGCAAAAATGTTTCTGTCATCTTGTATGTTTTGGCTTCTTGGTAGTCTATGCATTCAACCCTCACCTATGTATCGATCTGTATTTTCAAGCTGAAATCCCACCTGCCATCGAAATCGCTCTCAGGATGTTCATTCTGGTCAGATGTTGGTTTGATCTGCAGCCCAGTGCCGTCCCAGGCCGGCCCCTTGCCCTTGTGGGAGCCCCTCTGGCCCCCCGCCTCTCCTGCTCACGTCACGTGAGCTCCTCTCCCGGGTCCACTCTCTCGTTTACATGGATCTGGGCCCTGCAGCTGGCTGTGGGGGGAACAGAGGAGGTGAGTGCGGCGGCCTGGCGTGTGTGAGGCGTGTGTGAGGCCATCTTTACAGCCCTGCACTCCGGACAGCCTTGCAGCCTGCTGGTGTGTCGGGGTCTGGGTTCTAGGTGGGCGTGCTCGCCCGCTGGGGCTGCCGTGACGGAATACCACAGCCTGGCCAGCTTCGGCCACAGGCGTGCGTCTCTCACAGTCCCAGAGCCGGAAGTCTGTGAGCGAGGTATGGTTAGCGTGGGCTTCTCCTGAGGCCTCTCCAGGGTATGTGGTGACTCTTTCCCTGTGACCTCACATGACAGGGGGAGAGGGCTCTGGGGTCTTTCTCTCTCCTCGTGAGAGCACTAATCCATCACGACCTCATGTAAGCCTAACCACCCCGAGGCCCCACCTTAGGGACCTTCACGTTGGGGGCTGAGGCTTCAACACATGGATTTTGGGGACAAACATTTGGTCCACTGCAGTTGGTGGTTATCTTTGTTTTGCCTCACTGTGTTCCAGCTTCCAGGGTTGCTGTGGAGAAGCTCAGAGCCATCCCACTTCCCGACCCTTGATGGGACACTTTCGTGGTCCTTGCTCTCAGGAAGCCTGAGAAACCCGTTTGCGGTGCCCCGTGTTCTGAGCCGGTGCTGTGATGTGCCTTGACTGAGGTCTGCTTTAGTGCTCAGGGCAGCAACCCCCTGGACCCGGAGGATCGGTCTCTGGGCATACTTACGGGTGATTCTGGTGATTATTTCTTTCCCTCCGTTTTCCCTGTTCTTTTTCCCCCTGAAACTCCTATTTGGGGGTTGGCCCTTCTGAACTGGTCTCATTCTCCTCTTTCTCCACCCCCTCCACTTTCTGGAAAATTTCTTCAACTTTATCATCCAACACTTACTACTGAGATTTTAATTTCTACAGCTACATTGAAAAAAATTTTCTATGAACTTCTTTTTGTTTTCTGAATATTTCTTTCTATGACACCCTATTCCCACTTAAAGGGATATATTTTTCCCCTTTGTCTTGCTGAGATTTATTGTTATTATTGTGTTTTTTTGTCCCAGAAACATCTCCATTTCCCCTTAAGCAGCTTCATTTGTAACTCTGTCTTCCATAGACGTCAGATAGCCCTTCTGTTTGCTTTTGGGCGGTTCAGAGCTGCCTGGAAGTGCCGAGTCTAGGCAGAGGTTTTCCTCTTTGGGCTTCACTGCACGGCGTCCAGGATTTCCCGTCTTTCCTCTTGGGTCAGGCAGGGTCACCTGTGGGTCATCTTCTAATCTTCTGCTGAGGGTGGGGTGGGGGCCTCGTGTCTGTAACCCTGGGCCAGAGACCCCTGTACCCGCTCCCTGCCACCAATCTTCTCTGGGGTCAGTGAGGGCCGTGTCCCAGGAGTGCAGGGTGAGTTCTAGGGACCTGGTGCTGCCTCGTAGATAGTTTCTGGCTTGAGAAGCTGTGGCCACCAACACCTGAGCCTGTTGAATGTCCCTGGCTTTCTCCGTCGCCAGCTCGGTTCCTACTTCCTTGGGTCTGCATCGTCGATTATGACCAGTTTTCTGCTTTCTAAACCTGCATTACTGCTTTCTCCACTTTTGTTTGCTCTGCCTTTATGGGTTTTATGTCTTTTAAAGAAACTTAGTTTCTGCAGTTTTAGAGGCTTCTCAGGAAAAGGCAAAAATCTGCTGATTCTGGCTCCTAGCGGCTTATTGCATCAAGGACTTTCTGTGAGTGGTTTTGACTGTGAGCTCACATTCGATAGAACTTTATCTGGAAATTCTGTAATATGCTCTGTGTGCGGTGTATTCTATCAAACAAGATTGGCTTTTATGTCTGCCGGGATCTGGGGGCTACTTTGAATCAAATGCTTGGCTTGTGTTTTTAGATGTCCCCGATAGCTAGAATTTTAGCCCCTGCTGGGCTGGTGTGTGTGTGTGTGTGTGTGTGTGTGTGTGTGTGTGTGTTTCCAAGGGGGCTCCCCCTCCATTCAGCACTTGGTCCAAGACAGCTAAGCCACCTCGGCCCCTGTGGCAAGGTGCTTCCCCTGGTCGTTTGCTGAGGATGGGGCCTCCTGGGGCCTGGGATTCTCGCAGAGGCTTTGATCTCAAGTCCAGCCTTGCTTTTCGCTCAGGTATTCTGTGAGTGCCCCATTAAAAATGCAGCACTGAAGAAGCTGAGGGTGCAGCTGCCCTCAGAGCAGCCGTGGCTCCCGCTTCCCTGTCCCCTCTGGACTCCCCCCTGCCTGAATGTTTCTGTTCCCTGATCTTTTTCCTTACTTTCTTGCCAGTTCATTTGTGCATTTTTAAAGGTGTGTGTTTTAATATTGTTTGTCAGATTTAGAATGGGAGGATTTTTAGGCTATCTTGTTGGCCATATTATCGGCAGCACAAGAAGAGATTTAATTGCTATCTTCTTCCCACAGCACCGGGGCCCCCATCCAACTCCACAGAGTGGGGATGAGGGTGAGGTGAGCCAGGTGCACAGTTTAAGTGCATATCCAAGATTCAGTCATCAAGATAAATAATATTTCAAGCAATATTTTAAAAATCAAATTTAATCCAAAGGAATCCATGTTGAACTAAAAATCATCAAAGATTAAAATTTCTTAAAAGGCCGAAGATGCCGAGCTATTGTAGGCCCTGATGCAAAAGGTAATGTTGGAAATCAGGGCTTCTCTCCACCCAAGACTTACTCAGAGCAGTTGAGTTGGGGATTCGGGGGAACGCAAATCATTCTTTCTTCAATTGCTGAGGGGCACGGGTTTAATAAGACTTAGGAATCCTGGCGTATTCCTGGGCAGAGTGTGTCAGCCTCTCACATATTCAAACTCTGTTTGACAAACCAAGACAGGCACTTCCTCCCTCTCCTGGGACAGAGCCGTGTCTGTGGGATGGTCGCACTTTCAGATGCCAGGTGGGCACTGGTAGCATCATGCTCCCAGTATGGAAATGGCTGTAAACTTGGGCTTCCAGGGTCCACTTTCTCAGGCCATCTGCAGCCCCCACCCTGCTGCTGGTGCCCCCAGGAATTTGCAGGGAGCCTGCAGCCCAGCCTTCCTGGTCCATCCACTTCGGCCACCTGTGCCATCCCACCCCAGCCTGGGCAGACCTGCTTGCGTGCAGGGTCCCTCACTCCCCTTTCACCGCAGCAGCTGGAGCTGCCGCCCACATTCCTCATTTCCATGCACTCCCAGGCCACCCAAGCCCGGCTTCTGTGTCCACCATGCTGGCCAAAGACGTGGATGCCTGGCTTTGCACCCTCCTGCCTCCCCTAGGAACACTCACCGAGTGGTGGTGTGCCTAGTGTTGTCCTCTGCCCTCTGTCCCCACAGTCTCCCTGGACAGCAGGCACACACCCATGGTCTCACCCTGTGCTCAGGGTGCAGGAGCCCCGGCTCCAGTTCAGACCACTCCAGGCATGTCATCTGTCTGCCTGGACTGGCTGGGCTTAGGGTCTGGCACATCCACTTCCCTGTCCCAGGCCTGGCTCTGAGCACCTCCGATTGCATCCCTTTTCTCTCAGCACTCCACCATGACTCTTGCAGACTCTGGGCCTTCCTCCCTGTCCCTGCTCCTTGTGGTCTGGCCCTGGGCCCTGCCCCAGCTTGGCCCCACCAGCCTCTTCCAGGTGGGCTGCACCCTGGTGCTGGGCCCTCTTGCCTTGGGTGGGCATCAAGCTAATCCTGGCCCCACCCACCTGTCATCTCTGTCCCCAGTCTCCAAGCTTGTGCCTCATCTGTCTGCCTGTCCAACCGTTGCCCATGGGGCTTCCTGCCTCCCTGCCTGTGCAGGAGCTCTCTGCAGGCAGATATTCTCCCTGGCCCCCGCACTTCCGGCCAGCAGCCCAGCCAGTACCTCCAGACTGGCCAAAACATCTTGTCTCCACCTCTGACCCTCCCCCAGCTTCTGGGAAGGTGCTGTGGGCGCGGGGCTGGGGGTGGAGGGGGAAGTGAGCCAGGGAGCCTGGGCCTGTGCTATTCAGATGTCCATGTCACCCGCCTTCCTCGCCATCTTCCCTCCAGACCCAGCTCCTCCCTGCTGCCTCATGATTAGTGAAAACAAGTCCAGAGTGGGAAGAATATTGTCTCCACCCTGGGAGGCATCAGCGGGAGACTGAGAGCAGTG